AAGAAAAGCTAGAACTATGTTGCTTATACAACCTTAATTAAGACCTTGTGTGTACACATTATGACACAATCCTTAAAAACACACTTGCCTACTTTTCCTCTTTCCCCAGTCTTGATCTCTTCTTCACCCAATTTAAAGATGGACTATGCCCTGGGGATGAATCAAGGTTGTGTAATGAGGCAGAAGAATGGCTGCTTCATTTGTTGGAACATGTGTGTTAAATGTACAAGGCAGAGGGCTTTGAGGGGAGAAAAGAACTGCTAAGGCAAATGAATGATGCCAGAAGAACTGATTTTTAATTTTTTTTTAATTCCCTTCTGTCAGAGGAGTTTACAGATGCTGCTGAATGAAGAACATAAATCTAAATTCTGCAGGTTGTCACTGTTTTTGATTTGATCAGTTTCACCCTGTGATAGCTATCATCAATGGAAGATTCTTTCAACATTAATAGCTCTCTGTATAACAAAGGACTGAAAAATGGCATACCTAAGACAAAGATGCTTCGAACTTCAGCTCTTCTGTGCCTTAGTTTCCCCCTTTCAGGATGGGGAAAGACCACTACTTCACTAATAGGGGTGTTGGAAAGATAATGAAGTGTGTGCAGAGCATTATAGAATCAGTGATGAACATCAAGAATCCAAAAGGAAAGTATTTACCTTACCTTCAGAAAAGGGTTTAAACAGCAAGCAGCAAGTAAGGCTGGTGGCCTTCACCTGAACTACAGAAGTTACACGCAATATTGAATAGTATTTCCTTTAGTGAGCGACTCAGGCAACAAATGAAACAATGATCACAGAGGGAAAAAAACCAAACAACCATACAGTCATGTAATTGGAGACTGGACCATAATATGTGGCACATACGGGCACAAAAGGTTACACAGGGAGCCTCAGCTGTGGCATTTCCTAACTGCCAAGTGCTTAACTGTGCAAAGTTAGTAAGTATGCATGTTTAAATGTAGCTTTTTGTGTGCCCAACCTGTAACTAGGTTTGATTAGCGTATTCATTACAAGCTCTGCACTGATGAAATTTGACAAAAGTTATTTTGGGGAGCTAACTTAATGAGTAGAACCAGATACTGCTTTGCTTTAGGCAGCCTTGATCTGGCTTTGGATTTTCTGGTCTACCTCAATGAGAAGTGAAAATGGCAGCCTCCATGTGTCAATGGGTTTCAGCTGTAGGCAGGGTGAAATCTTTACGCACATAACAAATGCTGTCACCTGTACCTGCACAGCTGACTGTGGGCACAATGCTATTCCTGCATACATATATTATAAATGTATATTACACATGCTTTTAAGCATATACACAGAATATATAGACACACACCTTCAACACTTAAATTTCCAAAGCAAGTTTTAATTTTCCAAGTTAAAACTTCACAGAGGAAGGGGTTGCTTTATATCCATCTCTCCCCTCGCCCTCCCCCAAATCAGGTATCTTATTTCACCAAGCTAGAGCTTTAGAAACATTCTGGAAAAACAGAACACAAATTACCATGCAATTTCACTTTGATCACATTTCTTCTGCTAGCAGCTTTGCTGGGATTGTTAGTAAGCAAACTGACAGCACACATTAAAGAAGTATCAGTGCACACCTGTGCAACATGCCAGGGTCACAAAATACAGGCCTAGAACCTGCCCTCTGCTACAGAGGAAGTCCACAGGAGAAAAGGAATAAGGACTCTCTTCTTCCATCTGCCCTGAATGCAGCAGCAAGGCAGGATTCCAACCTAGCACTCAGGAGAGTGCCAAAAAAGGGACTGGCTACTGTGCTGGCTGCCACCCCAGGGCCCCAGGGGTGTGAGGCCCGCCAGCTGTGGGGTGGAGCCGTGCCCCCAGCCAGCTACAGCCTCTGCTTCTGTCTAGCCTGCTGGCTCAGCTCGTGTAATCAGCATTTTAAGAAAAGCAATATTGTGCAGTCCATCATGCAGTGCAGGTGTTCACCTTCAACTATCCCTGCCCTGTGCTGGCAGAGCAGCTCCTGCAACACACACAGCCAGCGCTCACCTGTTTTCCCCACAACACAAAGCGCAGCCTCTAATAAGATCCTCAAGTTCGCTTTATTCTGAAAAAGGAAATGTTTAGGAAAGAAAAGCTCTTGCCTGAATACAAGGAGATCAGATTTTTAACTGACCTCCCTCCTGTGCAAAGATATGATGCAATTCCGCAGACTTGGTACACCTGCCAAACCAAGACCAACCTCAGCAACTCAAACTACACAGATGCAGAGGAGACCTGGGGAAGAACCAAAGGTCTCTGCAGAGAACAACCTCAGGAACAATTATAATCAGCAGAAAATTCAGCCCAGACAAGCTGCTGCTTGTTCACGTTGAGGTCACAGTCCCTGTTCAGACAGGATAAATTTGGTTGGTAGCAGGGTATGGTCTATGACCTCTTGTGAGTCTAGCAGGAGTAGACCCAGAAGTGGGCTTTTATCCCATTTGCAGCAACAGATCCCACATACATAACCACGTTACGTTTCATGTCATTCCATGACCTGGAAGTAATCATAATTTTCCTCTGCAAAAGGGTGAGCTATAGCCAGTCATAGGATCTGAAATTTTTTTACTGCTGGGCAACATCCTTTCTGCTCTTGTATGTCAAAATAAAATTTGAAAAAAATTTAAATGCTTCACTGAGCTATAAACAATGAAAAAAGGTGTTCTGCCTGCCATCAAACCCCGCTGTTAAAATATTAACACAATGTAAATATTGTAATATTGAGGAAGTACACTGTGTCAGTACTTCCTGGCACCGTACAAGAGCTTCACTGTTCACTTCAGTCCCTGCTGTTCATTTTAAACACGCACAACTTAAACAAGGCATCTGAGCTTCTCCAGTCCTAGTGTGGAATTGCAGAGAGGCAAAACCTTACTGTAGGTTTTCTCTAAACTAAAAAACAAAAGTATTAAAAAGAATCCTGAAACCCAAACAATTACGTAGATGTCAGTACTTCTGAGGCAAAAATATTCCACAGAGTCTTTCAAAAGTCCTGGCATATTGCTGCCAAACATGGAAAGATCTTTGGGTATGCACTGTCCCCCCCTTCCTCAGAGAAGAAAAACAAGCTGCAAATGCCCACCAATGCCAGAAGCCTGAAAGCCCAAGTTATTCCTCATGGCAAAAGTCCCATTTCCCAGATTTGCCAGTTAAGCACATTACTTGCAGTTGACTCTCTCTCCCAATTGACTGAATAAGCAGCATGTGTGTAACAGAGAAGCAGCTACCTGCCATTAGTAAGCCAGATGTTGCTATCAGGTCTTAAAAAAATGCTGTCTAGCTGCTGTAATTATGTATTTGTCATAGAAATGTCACAGAAAAGAAACACAGCTTCATAAAATAGTGAAGACAGAGAATGACCTCTCTATAGAATAAAAACCAACCGGTCATACTTGCAAAAAGTCAACAGACTTGTTCTAGGGAGACCTGGGGGCAACTGGAGGATTTTAGAGCAGGATTTCACTCTGCTGGCTTTGGTTAATACAAGATAAAATCCCACCACTGACAAAACCAAAGATCTCACCAGTTTCAATGGAAATAGCATAAAGCCTTGAAATCTGAAGTTACCACTATTTACGCTTAGAGGCCTCATTGTGTCACGCACTGTGGCATGTCTGACAAAGACCGTCCTTGTCCCACAGACCTAATGATCTAACTTCAAAACAGCATGAAATAGCAGGGAAAAAAAACTGAATGTGTGAAATGTATAATATTCCTGAAATGTCTAATCCCAGCAAAACTAGATGGCTAGGATTTCAATAATTGAGTCCTAGACGTTGTATTATCACAAAAGAGAGGCATAAACACTGCTTCATGCTACCACAGGAAATATAAGTAGTGCATATTGTCACTGACTTTCTAAATCACACTGGATAAATGGCTTACTCCAGATTTAAAGGATCTGCTGCTCCCGAAGCTTTCTCACCTTTCAAACATGTTCCCATACACAAATGGGAACTAAAATAACTTGTACAATGTCCCCATGTGCCAGTTAAAGTATTGGATAAGCTTCGTTCTTATGCACGGTAAGAAATCACCCCGGGGGTTAACACAGATTTTCCACTTAATTTTAACTCCTTCACAGAACCTTATTCTGGAAGAGCTCCTTCAATCACGTATCGAACTGCACCACCACATTTGTATATGGTCGTGACTACCACAAATCCCACCGTCAATATTTTTTCACATGTTAGTTTATTTGCAAATAAAAAGCACTATGAACACAACACTAGGTTGGCCTCTTTATCTTTCATCTTACTTAAAAGGGGAGAAAAACTCTTGAGAACTCAGTGAGCATTCAGTGTATGTAATGGGCATAAGCACGTTACAAAAAGTCTACAAACAGGACATCATTCCAAAACTGAACTACTTACTGTGAGGGTGGTTGTTCTCTTGTTTGTTTTTTAAAGATAAACAGGGTTTTTTTTTGTCTGTTTCATGAAATATTATAGCTAAGATCCTTCTCCACTTCCATAAATGGATGTTTTTCTTGCTCTCAGTGGGTGGTCTCAGAGTTTTGACAGAGAAACATCACAAGATAAAAACATAGGATGCTACAGAGATAGCCCACCTGCAGTGGTGGTGGATGTGAAGGGGGAGAGAAAAGGTGATTGCAAAGGCCAAAACAGACTGTGGTGGGGGAAATCAAAGGTCAGAAATGTATTCACAGCCCTAACAATGGGGAGCCCTGGTGAAATGAGCAGCCAAAAAGCGCAGATACATGAGGAAAACAAGGGATGCAGAAAAGACGCAAAAATTTAGCTTTCACTTATGCTGTTATTAGATTTTATTTTTTTTTAAAGGTTTGAATAAGATACTCGGACATAATGCTTGGCATTCTTGTTAGTGTAGTTAAAGCATTTTGAAAACTACTTTCTTTTACATTTCTATTTTACACTAGCCAATTTAATGAAACAAATCTTCCTTTAAAAGTGCTGGTACGAGCCATATGTCCATGCAAACACCTGCTACAACCTTGTGTATTGCTTGGTTTCTTACCTGTTTTCTACAAGGAAGTCTACCACATATTTCTTCAGGCAGTAGAGATGGGCGTCCATCAGCCCTGTTCTGATGTGCATTCTGGGGTGCCTGGAAAAGAAAAAAAAATCATGGAGGTTTGCATGGCCATTTACAAGAGCTTGACTTTGCAATTAAGGCAGTGGATAGTAAAAAGTGCGTAAAGACAGATCTGTTTCTTTCCATCTACTGCTGGATTAACAGAGGAGAACAGTGCAGGCTGCCATTATTGGACTGTGTCTATAAACTTACACCTGCTGGCCCTGGGCTGATTTGCTGCGAAAGAAAACACCTCCTCCAAGGAGTCATTATTCCTGCTACATCTTCTTATGTAAGTGGAAATTGCACATTACTGGGCAGGAAGCCAAAGTAATGGGCCCAGAGTGCTAAAAGTTACAGTGGGTAATGTCAGGGTACAATAATTCAAAGCTCCTGGCTATATGCCTGCCTTAATATGCAAGGCTGTGCATGTTCTGCTAGCAAACACAACACTACTGTATTTTTTCCAACACTTCCTGGAGGGGAATAGGGGATGGAGATGGGGTCTGCTCACCTTTCCTACACTACACATTACAAATGACTGCCACAGCTCAATTACAAAGCATTCGTCTATCCAGCCCAGTAAGATGGGAAAGATCAGTAAAACTCCCTCTTATCATTAGCCAAACAATGGCAAACAGGGAAGTCTTCACCTTCAGACCAGTGGCAGGTTAATATTTCAGAAACTCAGAAATCTCCAATAGCTTCAATATTTTAAGAAAAAAATAATCAGAAAGACTCATTGATTCCTTTATTACTTCTCTTTATGCACTCTCTGCTCTTTAGTAGAAACCTTTTTGGAACCTGCCTCAAAGCAGCTAGATATCGTATGCCAATATTACTTTCCCTTCCACACACCTGTAGCCTCATTTGAGAGTGTTCTGGCTGTCTGAACACTTGCCACTAGTTCTCAGGACAGAAGCCACAAGAAAATTCAGCTTGCAAATTAAAAATGAGAGAACACAACAACAGTCAAGGACTACACTGGGCTGTTCAAGAGATCTGTAACTGCACTCACAGTCCAGAGGAGTGAGTGAGAGAAAGGAGAGAGAGAAATTTTTTTTAAGGAGAGAAATTTCAATCCACACCTGAAATTGTCTGTTTTCATTTGTCCTCCTTTCATAATGAAGTTTGAATGAACATACCTTACCAGTACATTCCATCTAACCTTTGTTTGCTTATTCCAGAACACACTGAAGTCAGATGTTTGTGATCATGATCACTTTTGTTATTTAGTTAAGTCAGAGGCATCACTCACAACATAAATATCTATATGTAGTAAAACAAATACCAGCACACCAAATATTTAGTAATACCAAAGCTACTGAGAATATCAGGTGTTCTAGTATGTAATTTTTCAGTGTTTCTCAATGAATGCACTGAACTACCAAAGTATTTAAGTCTTAAAATGTTATAATTGAGGTGGCATTTCTCAAGCATGCCATTAAATTCAAGCTAAGCATATTATTAACTATAACAAAATTCTTTAAGTCTCACTTGCAAAGGAAAGCTCCTATAATAGCAGTATGACACTTTGCAGTAAAGTATGTGGTACTAAAAAAAAAAAAATATATATATATATATGCACTTTCAGTAGATTACTTCATTAACAAAACATGAGCTCACCTAGCAATGCTCCAGTACTGATGTTATCAGTGGCCCAGATGTTGCTGTGGAAGTCAGCCCAAATAGCAATGTTCCTTATGCAAAGAGGATAGGGAATCCACTAATTTTAATGAGGTCTTGCAGTTGGAAGTCAGATGACTCCCTCCTGCTCTGCATCCTGAGGATGGTTTCCACATTTTGTGTATTTATGAGAGGGAGAATTTTTGTATCTTCTCTGAGAAAAAGGGTTCCCTTCTATTTATATAATGAATATAAAAGTTTATTGAAATGGGTGAAAGAGACAAATGGAAAACAACGGAGCAAGGAGGAAAGCTGAGGAAATGAACAAAACAATGGAACAAGGCAAGAAACGTGTAAAAAATAGAACTGGATACAACATGGGAAGGAGATGGAAAAACAGGAGGAAAAAACCCCAATTCTTAACTTGAAGATGACAAACAGGACACAGTTTCTTTAGTGCCAGAATGTCAGGTTCTTCTCACCCTATTCAAGATCTATCACAATTTCCTTTAAACACAAGGCAGAGGAAGGCTGCAAGGGCTAGACATCAAGCAGAAGAGTGTAAAACAGGAACTCCTCAATAAATGCTGGTTTTGTTGCCAGTGTCTGTGTGGCTTTCACGCATAGAGCCTCCCCACCTGCAAACTGGAACAACACTATTTAGCTACACTCCAGGACACTGAGGATTTGCAGGCTGAAGTTTGTATCTGCATGCACTATTGTACCAAGTTTTTCTGTAGCTAAGCAACTTTATAACAAAGTTATACAAAATCAGTGCAAATGGACAGACAGTAGCAGGGCGTTATCCCAGCTGCAGCTCCATCACACACACACACACACACACACACACACACACACACAAAAACCCCCCACGAAAACCAGACAGACGAGATGTACTGAAACGCCACTCTGAGTCAGCTTTCAATGTAGAATATACTAACAATAACAGAACATCATGCTAGACAAGAGGGAGGTGCCACACCGAAAATCCTCTGAAATACAGACCACCTAAGTGATTTGCAACAGAATAGTCCCATAGATTAATATTATAATCACAGCTTCAAAGGTCAAACAGGCAAGTTTGGGCACATGCATAAACAAAGCCGTGATTTCTGTAAACCAGACTCAAGGGGAGAATAGCCACACTAAACCAGACTGATAAGAGCACTCTATCATAACAAGTCACTAAAGATGATGCTAATTTTCATTGACTAGTGCTTAACCAGTCTATCTTCAGGTAAAAGCAAAGGAGCCAAACAATCTAACAGATAACAGCAAACTCCATCACCATTTCAAATGAGCATCTGGTTACTAATATCGAAAGCCACACTCCCTCCTCATGCCTCTGATCTCCCACTCCATCAGCTAATCTTTACAACATATGAAAAATGAGCCTGTGGTGAGGAACAGCTGATACGGAGAGAATCAAATAACAAACAATGCATGTGCCGAAAGCTGACGCACCTAGACTTATCGCTCTGAGGGAGATAATACAGAAGGCTTTTAATTATATCATCAAAGCAAGGGAGAAGGTACTAGGAGGGGCTGGCTGCAGATGGTTAAGTGTTGATGAATGCTGAGTTGGGTGGTTTATCAAAAGAAAAAGACTGGATATATATCTGAGAGGGTCACCGTTGAGATGAAAGTTGTAACAGCCATTGTTGGAGCTCTTTAATGAGTGAGGAATGTCAAATGTGAACCCTCTAAGAATCATACCAATTACTAAATGAACTTCAGTTCAATCTAGAAAATGTAATCAAGCACAAGTCATTAAAATACATGGTAAAACTCCCATTGGCGCTGCCACTATAGCATCTATTATTGTCTGCGCTCCCATGCGAAGGAGGGGGCTGCTCCCAGTTGTAAGCTCTGTGTGTTATGTTAAGTGATGGCAGATTTTAGCCCTAATGATGAGGCATGGAAGGCTCCCTGGCAGAAAGTCGACAATTAGGAGGCTCAGAGAGATCTGTGGGGAAGTCAGGGAAAGATCAATTAAAAGAGCAATTTCAAAGAATGCAATTTAATGTGTAAAATTAGCTTTTATTAGCACATAATTCCACAAAACCCTGACTCGGGATGAAAGCGCATAAAGGTCTGCAAGAGTCCTTAGAAAGGTCCATGCCCGTAATTCCTGACACGCCATTGTGAAATAATAAGCAGTACTAACAGGATTGATGCATGCTTCGTACATGGCATTGCTTTGAAAGTGGAGACCGGAGCTTTTCTCTCCCTGATAACCTCTCTCAGGATTTCCTCCCTCGGGGAAATCAACCACTCATAGAGCAAACTTCCCTTGTTTAAAGGCAAAAAGATGGACAATTGTTTCAACTGCAAACTAATTAAGAGAGATTACCACCAAGAGCTGGAGGTTCAGACCAGCCCTGCACTCCCACTGACAGTGTGATAATGCCAGGCTGGGGTCAAAATCATAAATCTGAAGGGAGCACACACAATGCTTAAAGCCAAAAAGCCTCTCTACTAAGCATGGGATATTGCCACATTAACCTCACCACCTCACAAATAAACTAGCTGAGAAAGAGAAATCCCATGGCCTCAAACTTCATACAGCTGTTGACAGAAAACATGAAGGTCTTTAAACGAGCTCAAGGACCTGAGGCTGTCCATACTCTAACACTAATCCGAGCAATGACAATAAAAATCCAGTCATACCTGCTATTAACCTGGCTCCTGAACCAGTATCTGAATTACATCCCCCATGGGCTTACGGGACATTCGTTCATCTTCCTCCCCATGCCTCCAAAATAAGTAAATAAATAACAGCACGCTAAGTGCAAACTACACACTCCATACTAATTTTTTTTTTCTAATTAATTGGATGTAGCTCCCATAGTCCATGTAGTCAAACAGCCTGCTGCATTGTTGCTATCCCCCACGGGAGGTACTGCCTTCCTGCGTGCAGAAGCGTGCCATCCCGTTGGGACACACGCTGCTGACCCCTGACTGGCTGTGATGGAGGTGGTGCTCTCGTGTTGACGCAAAGCCAGTGTACAGATCAACGCCAAGAGAAGTCTCAAAGCAAAACCTGCCAGACCACCTTTAATGTCTCCAGCATTCCTACTTTTAAAGGGAAAAAAAAACCCTAAAAAATTCCCTAAATCGCATTGCTCATTTACGGGACAGCTCTTGGCTGCAAACTCACTCGCAATAGAAGGCCACTGTTACGGTGGCTCTTCAGAAATCCCAGACACCTTATGACCTTGAGGTTTTTTTCTT